AATAAATCAGTGTAAACATTTTGTGCATGAAATACTTGAAGAGTATTTTGTAATATTGGTTCGTATTCACATGTCGTAAAAGCTGCGCCTTTCGAAAATAAAAATACAACATTTTCAAATAGAAAGCCCCATATATGAAATTGTATGGGTTTTATGGAAAACGCCTAGAAAAGACGTTATTCTTGATGTATGAAACTCACCAGTCCTCTACGTTTGTTCAGTTCTTTAAGCTCTATTGAATGGTGAGCTTGAAAAGGTTTCAACTGTTTTCTAAAGGTGATTATTTTGATTTTAAAAGGGCGGAATTCTAAATTTTAAAATCATTTCGTGCGCAGTTGTACGCCGGAGTTTTGAATCTGTTTTCAAGTTGTAGCCGGTGTAATGTTGTTCAAAATCGCCTATTCGAAATATTTTTTCTAAAAAAGCTATTTGTTCCATGTAGGTGTGTGAAAAACCCAGTTTTCTGGAAACCCTGCTTCCACATGTTCTGAAACTTTTCTTAGTAACCAATTGAAAGAGCGTCCTTCAAAACCATTACGTACGATCAAAATCGGTTCAGTCTATCATAGTTAAATAATCAGAAACTTTCTAATTGTTTGATCAAAAAAGAAATTTGATAGTTCATCTTTGTTTGATAAGACTTTTGATAACTGAAATCAAAATTATCCCCATCTAAGGCTATTCTCGTCTATTCAACAGGGATCTGGGGCCTGTTTCTTAAAAAAACTTAAGTAGAAAATCTGATTTAAGTCAAACTTAAGTCCAAAAAATTCTTTGTCTTTTTTGACTTAAGTAAGATTTTCTACTTAAGTTTTTTTAAGAAACAGGCCCCTGCACAGACACGGGAATTCTCGTGGCCGCGGGCAGATTGCAAAAAGACACGGACGGGAACTGCTCTCTTCGACCAGCACGGGGTATACAAAAAGATGTCACCCACGCCTACGACACATCAGACAGACAAGAAATGTTTTTTTTCTGCACAAGTAGCTAAAAAATTTCACGGACGGCACGGACAAGCACCCTCGATAAAGGTACGAGCACTGTCAAAAAAAGTTTGCACGTGCAGATCTCTACTAGTTATTCACGTTTATGAAAAAAAAACAGAACGATCATTCATCGACGAAAGCGAACACAGAGGAAAAAAACATTTTTCTGCTCTTTCCAGGTTAAATGTGTGTGTCAATGTTGTGTATATAATACACCTTGTGTGAAAGAAGATATCTGTTTAGGTATCAAGTGTGCGTTTCTAAAAAAAGTTAAGCTGAAACTTAAGTCAAAATTTAAGTCGTACTTAGGTCAAACATGAGTTTTGACTTAAGCGCAAGTGCGTTTCTTAAAAAAGCTTAAATCAGGCAGAGGTCATAGAGTAAAAACCATTCGTATTTTAGGCAACTTAGATTGTTTTACAGCAATTTTCTGAACAAAATCTCTGAAAAATGATGGTAGGTTGGATGGATTACGGACTTCAAATAAAGTTACAAAATTTAAACAATTTTCTACTTAAAAGTTTCAATAAAAACTTAAGTGAGATCGAGAGGTGACTTAAGTTAAGTAATGTATGAGAAACATACTTAACTAAAAAATTTTGCTTTTGAATTTGAATTTTGACAAATTTTTTACTTAAGTTTTGTTTAAGTTTTTTAAAGAACCTGTCCGCAGAAGGGCAACAATCGATCATAAGTTATTTTATTAATAGAAACTAGAATGCTGCTGCTACTCAACGATGCTACACACGTGTTCTGTACCATCGTTGAATTTGATTTTGTTTCAAAAATTAAAATAAACGATAGTTAGCCTTACTGTATTAGAAGAAAAAACAAACTGAAATTTCGTCGTTAGAAACACTACTTCGAAAATCTAAGAAAATACGATGGCGTTTCTTCTTCTACAGATCCCGTGGCTATTCAGCTAACTTCTCTCACATTTCTTTCTATCTCAGTACAAAATGGGAATCGATCGTCCTGCTGGTCTTCATTTCGCTACTCGTTCCGAGGTCGCCTCATGTAATGGGATGGCATGTACAAGTCATCCGCTAGCTACACAAACAGCCCTTGACATTTTACGTCGTGGTGGTACAGCCGTCGATGCTGCTATAGGAGCTAATTCTGTGTTGACAGTTTGTGAGCCTCATTCATGTGGAGTTGGTGGGGATCTCTTCGCCATTGTTTATGAAGCGAGCGCAAAAAAATTACACGGTTTAAATGCATCAGGCCGTTCACCTGGTCGTCTTACACTTGAGGAGTTCAAACGTCTAGGACATAAATCCATTCCGACTTATGGACCATTGTCAGTCAGCGTACCTGGATGTGTAGACGGTTGGTTTGAATTACATAAAAAGTTTGGTAAACTACCGATGAATGCATTATTACAGTATGCAATTGATTATGCCCAAAATGGATTTCCACTAGCTCCCGAAGGTGCTATAGCGAGGAAAAAAGCAAAAAAACTTTTTTCAAATTATCCAAATTTTAAACAACTTTTTGATGAAGATATTAAACATGGGGAAATACTTAAAAATACAAACTTATCAAAAACATTAACACTTTTGGGTACGTAAACAATCTTTCCTGTTAACGTAAACAATCTTTCCTGTTAACGTAAACGAGAAGCCCTACATGGAGCACTTGAAATACTATTAGCATAGCATATGATCCAATACCAAGATCATATCAGCTTTGCTATGGTTTAACTAGAAAATCTAAACCAAGAAAAATTTCTGTAACTTCAACACTTATCTGCGAATTTTTTCATTTTATTATCATTCCCGTAGACACGTTTCTATTGATTTCAAATCTACTATTTATCTTTCTAGCGAAGGAAAATGGCCGTGATTTATTCTACAACGGCGAAATTGCATCCAAAATTGAAGATTATATGAGATGTCATGGTGGGTATTTAACCAGAGAAGACTTCTCTCAACATAAATCAGACTGGATTGAACCAATTTCAACTAATTATCGTGGTTATGATGTTTACGAATTACCACCAAATGGTCAGGGTTTAGCTGCTCTTCAAATGTTAAATATTTTAGAAGAATATGATTTTTCAAAAATTGAATTTGGATCATTTGAACATATCCACTTGTTTGTTGAAGCAAAAAAAATAGTTTATGAAGATCGAGCAAAATTTTATAGTGATCTAGGTAATTTATTCATTCTTCATTGACTAAGAAGCTTGTTCAAACCGTTAGTTATCTATGTAGATTATATGAAACCAGGCATAATTGACAAATTAATATCAAAAGAGTATGCGCGTGAACGACGTCAATTAATCAATATGAATTCTGCTCAGACTCACATAGAATTGAATGAAAAGTTGTTGACTGGTGATACAGTCTATTTGACCACATCGGATAAAGATGGTAATATGGTATCTTTAATACAATCGAATTTTTGTGGATTTGGTTCGGGCTGCATACCAGATGGTCTTGGTTTTATGTTACAAAATCGAGGAGAACTCTTTTCTTTGAAAGAAGGTGAAGCTAATACATACAGCCCACATAAACGTCCATTTCACACGATAATTCCAGCATTTGTTATGGGAAAAGATAAGACACCATTCCTATCATTTGGGGTGATGGGCGGCGCATTCCAACCACTCGGACACGTACAGATATTGATGAATATTATCGATTTTAAAATGAATACGCAAGAAGCTGGTATAATTTAAATGGAAAATTCCTACTAAACGTTGAATAATCGGTCATTTCTGTATTTTTTTACTTTAGGTGATGCTCCACGCATTGATCATCAAGGTTCAAGTGAACCGATTGGAAAAGAAGCAGATTCAAATGGTGGCACCGTAACATTAGAAAGTGGTTTTAAATTTGAAACGATTCGACAATTGATGGAAGTTGGACATAAAATCGGGTGGGCTCTTCCAGGATCATATGGCGGCTACCAAGCGATCAGATTCAATTCTAAAAATAACGTGTATTTTGGAGCAACAGACAGTCGAAAAGATGGACATGCAGCCGGATACTAAAAACAATAAAGAACTTGTCCTAAACTCACAAAGAATTATTTCAAGATGTTTCAATAATTCAATGAAAACAACATAAGGTTCACTATCGTTTTTAAATTGAAAAGTTTTAATTCATAGTGTTGATTTGACTCAAACGACGCTACTATTTTTAATAAATTCGTTATCTAGGAAGTTTATAATTAATTACCGATAAATTTGTCATATGTTTCCTAAGCGTCTCGATAGTTCTTAAACTTAATCAATCCAGAAAATCATATTAAACGATCCATAGATAAAAATCAACGTTTTCGTTTCAGTCTAACTTTTCAAAGAACAAAGATACATCGATCGCTTTTCTATTTGCTGCTCTCAATACAAGCTATCTCTCTCTTGTTAAAAGACTAATTAACTCTAATGTAGAGCAGATTTTCCGAATCTGAACAGTTGAAAGTCTGATAGATTTTTTTATATTTTTGAATAGAACAAAATCTCCTGAATCGAATTTCAAAAAAATTTCTGGATTGTTGACTGACTTATTATTCGGAATATGAGAGGCATTTCGATCCTTCACATTACAGAGCAATTTCCTAATCTGACGAAAAGAGAAATTTTTTTTCTAATGTAAACGCTCTCGTATAAACACGCTGAGGATCGAAAATCTTCCGGTATCCGATACTTTTCCATTACTGATAGGATCCTGGTATCCCACCGACAGTTTGTAAAAAAAAGAGGAAAAGAGGAGTTCAGTTTTTTCGGGCGAAAAATGCTAACAAATATCCTCGCAAGTGTAGAAGCACGGTGGTATATCTATGATCTGCGTTCAATGACGAATCGAAACAGCGAAAAATGAAATTCAGGATTGTTTACATTTATTTTGCATCATTCATAATATGCGCACTGCAAAATGAGAAAACAAACGAAAACAACAGAAATTTCGTACATCTATTGTTTTTTTTCGTCTAGTTGTGATCACTATTATTCTATATTAAAGATTGTATCATCGTTAGCTATCTCTGTCTATTTTTTTCTTTTATGTCACATGTCTTTGTTCTTTTGGATATATATAAATGAAAGTATACATTCGGATATAGTCAGTTCGAGTGCATATAGAATACAGAGTTAGTAAGTGGTCAGACCAGTTAGTGGTCTTCTTACTTCATATTATTCTTGCATATGTATTTTTTAACATTACTTTTAAATATACTGCATATATTGGATTGGCACTTTGTTTAATCTAGGTTGCTGAGAGAGTTTCCAGTCTCACTTGATTGAAGAACCCGAGCTTAACGATTAGTGGAAGTCAAGAGTAAAAATATGTGATGACATAAACCACTGGATGAACCAACAATAACGAATTTGTTCGTCAATAGCACTGTGTTCGTGAAAAAAGAGGATATTTCCCTAAAAAGAGAATTTATAGAAAAACGAGGTGAAGTGGAAGGCCAGACAGGATCGGATCTTAGATTCACTTTTTAAATGGTGCAAACTGACCCGATCTTCTATGATTTGATTATTGCATATTGTTGTGGGATGAAATAATGCTCTGATGACGTTCACTTTCAAGAATCATGGATGTAAGCAACAAGTAAAGAAAGATTATAACATCTCTCTTTCAAATATTGTCTTTTATTTTAATGACAAAAAACAAAGAAATATGATTAACAAAGCAGCATTTCGATTCCAAATCAGGCTGTACCTTTATTGAATGTTCACACTACTGAACAAGTGATTTTGCATTAATTCTCTTTGATTTTATCATTAAATAAAGAACAATAATCGATGAGTGATTTAAATGTTTTGTTTTTTTGTTGAAAACAGAAATGTTGAAACCTTCTTTTTATTTATTGATCGTTCACATTATTCCTTGAGAGTAAACTCAAAAAAAGAAAATTTTTTCATCAACATATTCAATAAATCTATTATCAGTGTTTAACTGTTGCAAAATGAACAAATTTATCTAAGGATAAGAACAAATCATACAGTTTCTATTTGTAGAACAAGAAAAGGAACAGAAAGAAATAACAATAATAAAACACGGATGCATAAATGGAAAAAAACGAATGCGTGCGTATTTTAAATTTTACTTAAACAATATAAAAGAGAGATTTGCTATCACAGTTTTATAATTCAGTAATATAGAAAACGAGAGTCATTCTTCTTGATTTAGCCGTTAGTACAAGATTTAATGATCATTCTTTTGTTCTCTAATTAAATTTACATTTCGAAAAATCCATTTCCGGATGTTGTACCATAAATCTAAACGATAAAATGATGTCAAAGAGATGAATACAAATAAACAAAAATATTGATTAGTCGGAAACATATCTTGTGGATTCTGACAATCCAAGGTGCGATTCAAATAAATATATAATCAACAATATCTTATTGTCAATACTTAGCCATACTTTTTCAACAGATCTTGTTTCTTTTGTTCATCACTCGTTGGAAGTCCAGCATCTCGTCTGTGCTGATCATACATCATCTTTTCAACCATACCACGCGTTTCACCGTCCAAATCAGATAACTAAACAGAAAAAACGAAAAAATTTATTAGGTGAGTATAAACCTAAATAGTCTAAAGAACGTACTTTTGAATTTTCTGGTTGAACTTTTCTAGTATTTATTTCTGGATCAGTTAAAACAATACGACTCCACCATTCCATTTTATTCACCTATAACAAACAAAAAAAAAAAGACATAAACTACAGTTCATCACTTAACAGCTTGTAGTATTGAAACAGAACAAAATTTGTAACATACTTTCTCCAAATGTACAACAATAAGTTTTCCTTCATCTAGTGTCCACATTGATTCTTCAATTTTGATATCAGCAAAGGTTTCAGCATCAATTATAGGCGTTTGACCACGTACAGCAACATGAAGATGCTAAAAAAAATAATAAAACTACAGATTTTTGATATTTAAGATAACGTCATATTTTAACTGACCTTTCGTTCAAATTTCACGATAATATCCTTTGATTTGAAACGTCCAGTTGTTTTTAACGGAATGCGAATCTAAATAGAAAACATGATAAGTATGAAAAGAATAGGCTATGAAAAAAAGGATCAAAAAACTGTATCGAACCGAAGTTATAGGGTATTTACCCAAGCACTTACATCAATTTCCTCTAATGTTTGCGTCCAACTATAATTTGGTAAATCACATCCATTTCCGGCATTGGGTTTTAGTTTTCCTTTATCTTCATCTTTTTCATCATCATCGTCACCTTCTGCTTTCTCTGATGTTCCATCAGTTTTCTACATAAAACAATAAAATTTAGACTAGAATTTAGAAGTATAAATAATTTCAAACCTTTACCGTCTCTGTTTTTTGTTCTTCTGAACTATTTTCCATTGTTGTCGGAGTTGTTGCAGACTTTTCTGTATCAATACTGTCCGTAAGAATATGATCACCAGACGCATGTTTTTTAGCCTAAATGAAGATGAAAAGAGATTAAAAAAAAGCTAGTATTTGATTGTACAGGATTTAGAGCGAAAAATGAGTTTTCATTTTACATACTTGTAATTTTTTATTTTCTTGTTGTATTTTTTCTGCTTCTTCATCAGTGACTTCGATAATTCTTGAATTCTCCACTTCTTTAGCGCGTTCATCTTCTTCTTCGCGTTTACGTCGTAGTTTTTCACGTCGAATACGATCAGACTAAATTAAACAAAACAATTAGAAGATTTATTCTGAATGAAAGAACGAATTTTGAAAATTTACTTCATCACGTTCCGCTTTCTCTTTTTTGTGTTTTTCTTGTGCCACCTTTTCCCATTTATGATAGGCATTTAGAACTAATTGTTCTGGTTTGGTTTCGTTATTTGGAGATGTATAAAAATCAGTTTTACGAGCAAAAAATCCAAAAACTGTATCCAATAACTGAAAGACACAAAAGCAAGTTATAGCTGCAGATTGAAGAATAAAAAAAATGCATACTTGTTGAATTCCCCCTGTATGCTGTGAGGCGACACTCATCAACATTGCATCGAACTTTTCTTCTTCAGACATGATCACAACTTTATAATTTTAATTACAAATTAGACAGAAATAGAATCAAGAGTCTGAAAAATGCTAGAAAATATGATATCATAAATAAAAGAAACGATTTCTTCTTTACACTGTACTGTATTACTGCAATCCCACAACTTATGTATGACTGGTTATTTTTTCGAGAGAAAAACTTACTAAATTTAAGTGCTTTTGCGGATTTCTTCGTTATATTGTCATCATGCAGACTATTTCCGTCCTCGAATGAGAGAGAATAAACAGTACAAACAAAAATTGTTGCGCTCATAGAAAAGTTTAATTTTTTCGTGAAGATGCCGTTTTATTCTATGATATAAACAGTAGGATTTTTATAACTACACTCTATTTGAATACAACAGCAGCTGAAAGTGTTTTTGTTGTGGCTAGTGTGTTTTTGGGAATGAGTGAGGCATCGTTGCTCATACAACCATTGATATCGAGTCTCATAAGGGATATAACGATGCTTCGCCCATGAATCAAAGAAATATTTGTTTGATTCATGGATGATGCATCATTATATCCCTTGTGAGAGATTGCAAGGAAATGGATGCTCAAATTATGACGGTACAAATCAGGTGATCGGTATAAAATGAAATTATAAATAATACCCTTCGTAGAAGAGGTGATTTCTTTCATGATAAATCGAAAAACAATCCTGATACAAACATGAAGTGGATTAAAGAAGAAAACACAATGGAAAAAAAAACGATATTCAGTTTTGTAAAAAGAAAAACAAAAGAAAGATCCTGCTCCCTTTGGTGAACATTACTGTATATATGTGCTAAAAATGATTCAAAAACAGCAAACTTTCTCACTGTATTACTTTGTACAAGAAGACAAGGATGAGTCTGCAAAATTGCAAAAAAACCAACACGACTAATTTTACAAATAAACTTGATTACAACTGTTTCAGTGAGTATAAAAGAACTGAAAACGATAAATAAATAAAGAAGTGGAGATTCTTTGATATTGTCAGATACCAATTCTAAATGACTGAAATTTTATATCTACTAACAATGTGAATTAGGTTTATAAAAGAAACTAAATTGATCTAACTAAATTCAATTTTTTTGAGAAACTATGAGTGTATTCTTCGAAAAATACTAAGTACAATCGATCCACTTGTTCATTAATTCGTTTTCTTCTGAAATATACAAAAAGATGAATTGTAAAGTCTTATTTACCTTAATTGATCTTTAATTTCCATTTGAAATGTGTTTTTCTATTCATAGTTTCGTAGTTACCATAATTTAATGATGAGAGCGAAGAGGAAGAAACGGAGAGCTGATCATCATCATTTTGCAACATTTCATGTCCTAATCCTCCGGCTAATGAGCAACCGGAGAGAGAATAATTTTTATGGATTGCATTCAAAGATGACTCTAAACTATTACTGTAATTTAATTTCGATAAATATGGATCATACGAATAACGTTTATGATTAGTTGATGGACTCAGTTCTTCGTACGATAAAGATCGTCCATGACGTTCATGTGCCGCCGATTTTGTTCTTCCTGAAAAACGATAAGACGAAGACGATTTGGAATAATGCAAACGAAATGTTGATAAAGATAGACTACGCTGGTCTCGCTTATGTCCTTTCGAATAACGAGAGTTTCGTTTTTGCGATTGTAATGTATGGCTAGCGAAGCTAACTATCGATTGTCGCCAATCAAGTGGAATTATTGAAGAATAATGAGCAGCATCAACAACCGTGTCAGATGCGGCAGTTGTTACAGTTGTTGCCTCAACTAAAATAGAGAAACTCATTAACGAATTAAACACATTGCGAAAGTGACTACGTACTGATTTGTTGTTCTTGTTGAGCTAATAGATCATATTCATCCTGTTTATCTTTCAGTTGTCGCTGAAGCAGCTGAAGTTTTTCACATAGAATTATTTGACGGTGAATATTTTGTTGTAGAACAACTAGTTTCAATCGTGATTCATGACATATCCGCTGCACAATATGTTCATGATGATCGTTTTCAACAGATACGTCATTTACACTTATTATTACTGTACCCGACCGTAAACCACTATTCCATGCTAAACTATTTTCTTGAACTGAGTCTACATATGTGCAAATGTGAATCGATGGGGAAAATGGAGTTGAGGTTGTTGTTGTGGCAGTGGACGAAGATGACTTTCGACTCGATGTTGAGGTCGATTCATCGATTGATGGTACTGACAACAAACTCAAACGAGCTGAATAAAAATAAAAAATATAGATATGAGATCAGAAGAGAATTATTCTAGCAACAAAGCTTATTTTAAGTTTTATTGCGTTAAAAGTTGTAATTAGTTTGTTGACAAACCGTTCCACCTTCATCGTACTAGGAGCTTTATCAGTTCTCAAATGTTAATCGATATATTAAATAATTTTTGGTTCTAATCAGAGCAACTCTATCATGGATATAGAACAAAACGCTGTATTATCTCGTTTAGTCAAGTTAAAATCAAAAAGAATGTAGATTTTTTTTGAAAGACTTTGACCAGATCACATGATGATTGATTGTAACATGCTGTCACACAACGGGAAAAGTTGCGCTAAATTACCTAAATCTTGTACAGTGGAAAAGCCGAATGTCTGTATCGAAAATCCAAATGACTGATCCACATGAGTTTTTTCCATTAAAATGGTTCGAGGACGATAGAGTTCATCGTCATTATTAACATCTGATGTAATCCGTCTGTGTAGTATCCGTGGTTGAACATGTTGAGTTATTGATAAACTATGTGGTTGTGTTTGTGAAGATGGCAAAGTCGATACCGCTAACATTTGAGTAGAAAACAACAGAAAAGCACAAACAAACAAAATTAACGTGAGTAGAGTGCCGATGTAATGAGTCGAGATATGTTATGTCTATCGAGGAATTCTTCGATAGAATAACCTTGCAGACAAAATGGCAGCTTGACCAATCAGAAGTTGTCGAGAAACTTCTTGCTGTTTAAGAAAAAATATACACCACTTTCCCACTTTCCTGTCCTATTTCTTCCAAGATTCTTGTCTGAAAGGCCAAGTAACAAGAATCTTGGAAGAAATTAGACAAGAAAGTTGACGAGTGATCCTCTTTGCCATGGAGTGCTTGCTTTTCATTAACAATGTAGTTAGAGAAAATAAAATTTAAAGTGGAAAAAAAGTCAAAATAATAAAAATCATTACTAATAAAATTTTAGGAAGCCTTGTTTTCTTCCTTTTAAAGCTGTGGAATGAAAAAGTTTACTTTACGAAGAAAATAAAGTCTTTTTTTGACGTTCGAATATTTCAATACCGGCATCGTGTAGAGCATAAAAATTTAGAAGTAGAACATTAGACTCGTTTTTCAAAACATGTGGAACATGGTTTTTCAGACGTCCAAAGTTTTAGGGACACTTTTAGGATTTTCCTCCCAAAACCACATAAAGCTCTTAACTACTGTAGATGAAAATATAGTGGCACAACAGCAGAGTAAAATGGCGAAAAGGACTAGTCCGATAGCTATCGACGTTTTTGAACAGTGATGGATTTAGTGAAAAAATTAGAAAGTTTGCGCTCATATATCTCGAAATCTGTCCGAACATTTTTTCTCATTGTTATCAGAATAGATAGAGTTCATCGCGCTCTACAAAATGGCTGTAGCCGATTTTTCGACAAACGTCGACTTCGTTATCATTTTGAGTAAAGTTTGTAAGATATTGATCGTCTTTTTACGATTTAAGCACACTTTTTACTCAATTTTGTACATCTATTGCGTCCAAATAGGTTCTTTTATCGTTAGTTTTCTAATTTTAGCTGATTTTAATCATACTAAACTAAAACGAAATCACTAAGGAAATTTTGGGATATATTTTTACAGAGACCTTTTTCTCGAATTTCTGTTAGCGGTAGTTTGAACCGATGGCACATTTTTCGAATGTCCTGAAGCCAGAATCTGGGTTTTTCAGTTTTTTCCCGGAATTTGTCTGGATTTTGAGAATTTACCGCTGTTGCTTGTTTCTCCTTGATTATGAATATTTTTAACTGATCTTTTTATCCATAGTTTGTGCAGTACAGGTGCTCTTTCTCATATTACATGCCAGCTAAAGTGCCAGTTACTTTTCTTTCGTTTGGTTTGTGTTTATTTCTTTCTGTCTCGCTTTTTCCGACAGTGAACGGACGAAATTGTATGTTGACAGAACTCATTGAAGTTGAATTGTAAATTCGTTTAAACCCATCGTTATCATGCACTCAAATTTATAATTATTTTTGATCATTCAAAAAACAGCCTATCGATTAAAATCGAAATTTATATTTGTTTGTTATTTTCTTGTATTTTATCGAAGAGAATCATATAGAGCTAGAGGAGAAATCTTTTTTGGCACTCTGCGCTGTAGGAAACGTTTAGATAAGGCAGTGGAAATATATTTTTGTTTCATTTCCAGGTTTTCCTGACAGAAATTTTCTGGATTTCAGACTTGTAGAGGTGGCAACTCTGCTGAAAAGGAATACAAAGCAATTTCTTATACTAAAAAGTGACGCTTTGTTCACCAGAACTGTGTTTATTTCTTTATGTAACTCTACTTTATTGTGATAATGGTCTGTAGATCGTACACTACGTTAGAAAATACGAAGTGTGCGGCATATAACAGACTGATAACGTATATAGAATATAAACTAAAGCGAAAAGACGATAAAATTTTTTAGAGTGGGTCTATTGACACCCCCGGGGTGGCAGCAAGGAGCTGTTGACACCCCATCGAACTGGAAGCAATCGCCCACCAGAAACGGTCTCTCATAGACCGTCAAATTCCGAATTAATTTAACATAACACTTTGAATAACACATTTATGGAGTGTATAAGTGCATTTTGAACTGTCAGTAGTTCTTATTGTTGCCAGTTCGATGGGGTATCAATAGCTCCTGCTGCCACCCCAGGGGGATGTTTCACAGAAATTCTTAAGTCTTCGACTTAGACTTAAGTCATACTTAAGTCTCCGTTTTGTCTAATTAAGCTAGGCTTAATCTTGAGTGTTTCACAGAATTTCTTAAATCATAGACTTAACTCCACGCTTAAGTTAAGAGTAGTCTGTACTTGTCTTAAGTTTGTCTTAACTCTTGCTGCGGTTATAATATGATATAAAAATTGAAGTATTAAAATAAACCATGACAGACGATTTATTGATGACGCGTTATCGTTTTCATTAATATGTCTTACAAGTGCCTCCAATATGTGCAAATTACACAAAAATGTCTTATTGTGTCTAGCATGTGTCTGCAACTACGAAAAAATGAAGACACTTTTAACAGCACGAGGCTTTATACTAAAACCTTGATTAGCTACATTTCGTCATCATAAAGCATTTTCGGTATTAATTCTACTCTTATACTACAAAAAGTGTGAAAAAGGTGACATTACACTAAATATCATTTTTCAATATGCACTCGAATTTGCTTAAACACACATCACCAAAAGAACTCTTTCTTAAAATATAATTTATATGACCTACTTTCCTTCTCTTTTCATGAGCTGTCAGAAATTCAAATTTGTTCTAAATTTTACGTAACAAGATTTTTTTGTTCGTGAAAGCCTGGACAAAATTGCACAATATAAGAAAAACAGATTTTTCAATTTCGACTTTGTTTCA